CCAAACTCCCTCCAGCTCAGGGGCTTCCTTCCCCTAAGCTATGCAATTTCCTTATAATTCTGCTATTTTGGCTATGCTTTTGCCCCCCCCCCCCCCCCCCCCCCCCCGCCACTTTCTCCTCCTGCTTCTTTCATGGCCATGCTCAGTCTAGTTCTTTCTCTCTCTGGACTCTTCCAGATGTGCCTGGATGTTCTCTCTCCCATATCTACAAAACAAAACAAAACAAAACACACACACACATACACAAAAACAAAAACAAAACAAAAACAAAAAACCTTCCCTTTAACAATTCCATGGAGTGCTTGGTCATGTTGTCAGTTTACAGACCTGTAACTTTTTAATCTACATGTCTGCAACATTAACACTGTGTGGACAGTGCTAAATTCTGTGACCCACTCAAGATGTAATCTGACTCCCTTGAAGCATATCTGAGTGGCCTTTGTGTGCCTGGCTGGTTGAATTTGGGAAGAAGTTTTCCTAGATGGTACTACTGGGGCAAGGCATCCTGGAGCCATCAATAGACAGAGGACACCCTTAAGACACTATTCCTATTGCTTCAGGACAGGCTGGTAGGTTTCTACTTAATTTTACAATAAAAATTTAACAATTACCTCTACTTTGCAGCCACTCTATTTGTAATAGTTGTTTAAAACCTCTTCCTCACCAAAATGCACACTTTCCACAGTTTTCTATCTCGAATTTTCACTGTAAACCTGGCTAATGGACGTGAACAATAACTCTGCCACAGACTAATTCATATGCTACCTTAAATTTTCTTTTATCAAAGAAATTAGTCCATTGCTTTAAATCTCAGACGCACTCAAACTTTCAGGATATAGGTAGATGCAGCCAGATTATTTGCCAGCCTGTAACCCACATGGCCTCTGGCCCAGTTCCCAAGTTGAACCTTTGTTTCCCTCTGAAACCCCAGGAGCACAGAAAGGACTGTGCCTTTCCACTGGCATCGTGAACTTCCCAGCTCTCAACCAGAATGGCCTCTTGAGCTCTGTATACAGTACTCTGGGCTTCTAGTGCTCCACTACAAATTATTCCAGTCTTCCTGAAAACCAGCTCTGAAAGCCTAGGAACCACGTGGTTCTTGCATCTCATTGCTGTGACAAAATATGTGACCACACATCTTTTTTTTTAATATTTATTTATTATGTATACAATATTCTGTCTGTGTGTATGCCTGCAGGCCAGAAGAGGGCATTACAGATGGTTGTGAGCCACCATGTGGTTGCTGGGAATTGAACTCAGGACCTTTGGAAGAGCAGGCAATGCTCTTAACCTCTGAGCCATCTCTCCAACCCTGTGACCACACATCTTAAGGAAATATTTTGGCTCATGATTTGAGAGAGTACCACAGCACATCCCAGCAAGGAAGGCACGGTGGTGGTGTCTCTGGGAAGGCAGAAGTCTACAGCAGTTGCTGAGTACATGGCACCTACCACAGAGCCAGATTACAGCGCTCAAGACATGGTTCAGCCTTGTATCTGCTAACGAGGGTGCATGCCCAAAAGTTTCTACAATGTCCCCAAACAGCACCACCAGCTGAGGATCAAGTGTTCAAACACACAAGTCCATGGGGGACATTTTACACTCAAAATAAAACAGTCCCTATATTGGAAAATGTAGTAAAATAATACCTACTTCACATTATCATTCTGGTGAAGCAAAATAGTCAGTACGAAATAAACCATCATCATCATCATCATCACCATCACCATCATCACCATCATCATCATCATCATCATCATCATCATCATCATCATCACCATCACCATCATCACTATAGACAGGGTTTTCCTATATTGCCCTGACTGTCCTGGAACTTTCTTTGTAGACCATGCTGTGATCGGACTTACAGAGATCCATCTGCCTCTGCCTCCTAAGTGCTAGGATTAAAGGCAGGTGCCACCACTGCCTGGTATAAACCATTATTATTATAACCCGCCATATTCTCTTTCAAGAAGCACTGTGAGAAGTCAAGTATATTTTGGTTCTCAACTTACAATAAATGAAACAGAAATATAGAGTTCACAGTGTAAACAGCATTAAGCTGGGAAAGGGAACTTATTCCTTGGCTTTTGCCTGCGCCTCCCACTTACCCCCACCCCAAATCTTCTGTTGTGCTGACTTGTCTGGACTTCCAACAGAAATGAAAGTATGCTTGTTTCAATGTAGGATTAATCTCTGCAGGCCCTAGAATTGTATATGTTTGAGATTCTAAGACACCAGTTCTTCTTCCTCCTCCTCCTTCTTTTTTTTTGGGGGGGGGGTTCGAGACAGGGTTTCTCTTTAGTTATTAGTGCCTGTCCTAGAACTAGCTCTTGTAGACCAGGCTGGTCTCGAACTCACAGAGATCTGCCTGCCTTTGCCTCCCAAGTGCTGGGATTAAAGGTGTGCGCCACCACCGCCCGCTCTCTTTATTTTAAGACAGCAGTTCTTAACCTGTGGGTCCTGGCCCCTTTGGTAAACTTTTATCTTCAAAAATATTTAACTATGATTCATAAACAATAGCAAAATTACAGTTAAGAAGTAGCAACGAAAATAATTTTTATATATTCTTTTAAAAACATTTTTATTTTTATTTTATGTGCACATGTGTGGAGATGTCAGATCCTCTGGAACTGGGATTATAGAAAGTTGTGAGCTGCCATGAGGGTGTTGGGAATTGAACCTGGGTCCTCTGAAAGAGTAGCCAGTACTCTTAACCACTGAGCCATCTCTCCAGGCCCCAACGAAATAATTTTATGGCTGGTGGTCACCACAGCATGAAGAACTGTATTAAAGGGTCGCAGTATTGGGAAGGTTCAGAACCTGCTGCTCTGAGAGATTATGTTGAGAAATTATTACCCTTGATTTATTTGTTTTAAAACATAGGTGGTGGTTTGAAAAACGACATTATTAACTAGATTTAGAATTACACAGTGTTCACATATTAAAAACAACAACAAAAAACCTTTATGAAACACTTCCTCCAACAGAAAGTTGCTTAAAAATCCCCAAGATTGAAACCCACCATCTAGTGGTGAGGAAGGGAGTGTCGTGCTAGCTATAGGGGACAGCATGGTTACTCAAGGCAAATTCTCTTTTCACGTTCATCTTCTCCCCCTCCTAACTCAGGGCAGTATTAACCCTAGAGAAACTGACGAATTCTGAAGAGCTTGTTTATTTGACAGCAGTCTTTGTTTTGAGAAAGGGTCTCATTATGCTGTCCAGGCTGGCCTGGGATTTGCTCTCCTTTCGCCTGTCAAACTTCCAAAATGCTGGTTTTACCAGGTATGCACCATCACGCATGGCTGGTGGTATAGTCTTACAGCAATCAGTGTAGGCTTTTGAGAACTGTGGAAATCTAATTGGCATTAAGATGGAATGGAGGAACAAAGGAGTCTACTCCCCATACATCTCACTCCCACCCAAATAGTTCTCGGGGGCAGTCACACCACCTCCATGCCACAAAGTGCCCTTCCTGTTCACAAGACTCCGAATCTTTGAGTCGGATCACCTGAGGTCAAGTGATGATTTCATTTTACCCCCAATGATTATCTAAAATTAATATTTAGAAGGAATGCACTGCCCTTAAACCAAAGGGTGGGAAAGAGGCCAGGGTCTTAGGGAACCAGCCGTATTGGTATAGAGTTATTTCCGGTTTTTCTTTTCCTATTTCCTACTTGCTCTTTTCTCCTTCATATAAATCAAATAATTAAGAGTGTTATGTTTAAACGGAAGATGTAACTCCCTGTACAAGGTGGTTTAATTTTCCCAGAAGGGACCTGGCAAACCTAATAGAAATGTTTGAGTCCTTTCCTGAACTATGGATCTGGGAGTATTTTCTAACATAATCTTAAACTGTCGTTTGACATCTATTTTCTATTAGCACAATTTTTCTCAACCCCCCCGAAGATTTTTCAGCTAAGATCAGTCTTACTAGTAGAGATCCCGTAGACTCTTTGACTTACAATGCTTTTTTTTTTCTAAACTGGGCTTACGAATATCGGCGAATTATTCCGATAACTTTAAACCAAATTACACCCTTCACCTTTGAACACCTTGGGGTTCAGTGCCTTCAGGGGCATCCGGGCATTTATTCCTATTTCTGCTCTTTCACTGCACTCCCGGGAGGGCCGGTTTCGTCCGAGAAGTTGAGAGAAGCAGTGGTGCGGAACTTGCAACAGTTGGTGTCGGGCGATAGTCAGGTTGGGAGTGATAGATGGGACTACTTTAAAAACCAAAAGCCCCGGGGAGGGCCGGGGTAGCCGTGGCCTTGCTGGGGAGCGAGGGCGGCGCGGGCGCGCCGGCGTGGGAAGGCGCCCTTCCGGGGCTGTCGGGCCGTGGGACGCTGAGCCAGAGCGCGGGGACGCCGGCTGGCCGGGAGGAGGAGCGGGCCACCCCGGGGCCACCGAGAGGTGAGGGCGGCCTTGCCCCCGCGCCGCCCCCGGCGGAAGGCACGACGCCCAGGCCACGGGTGCGTGCGCGGCCCCGGGCGACGCGGCTGGGCGTGCGCGGGGCCGCGGCGGAGGCAGGGCCGGGCGGGCGGCAGAAGATGGCGAGGGTGTGTAGGCGGCAGCAATGCTCCGTTGAGAGACGCGGCTTTCGGCAAGAACTGGACTCGTGGCGCCACAAGCTCATCCACCGCGTAGGTGAGGCTCTCCATCGGTGCCCGAGCCGCCCAGCCGGCGGCCGCCCGTGCGTGGGAGGGAACTGGGCAGCGGCCGCCGCGCTCCGGCCCCGCGCGCCCTCCCGGGCTCGGCCCCCTCCCCCACCCCCCGGAGCGCAAGCGCGCGGCCGCGGTGCCCCTCCCCTTGGCTCGTGGGGCGAGCTCGGCCGCGCGGCTCCTCCTCAGTCGCCGGCGCATTGTGGACGCCGCGCCCGCCGCCGCCGCCGCCTGCGCGCCGGGACGCGCGGGGTCGCCCCCACCTGCCCTCGTCCCGCGCCCCTCCCCCACGCCGGCGGCGCGCCCCGTGCCCGCGGGCACGCGCGGCGGCGCTCGGGCGTGTGCGAGGCGTGAGGTGGAGATGGGGGCGGAGGGAGCCGGAGCTGTCACAGGCCCCGCGTCCGCCTGAGCGAGCCAAGTGGGGTGTCATGGCCGCGGGGGGCAGCGGCTGCACTTCCTCTGCTGGCAGCGGCGGCTGGGGAGTTAGTCCTCGACGCACGGGTCGGTGTGTGCGGATTTGTGTTTGGCGTGCGCGCGGCGGGGAGGCGGGGGTGGGAGCCGGGCGGGGGTCGCCCTAGTCCCCTCCGCGGCGGCCGGCGGTCGGCGTGCTTCCCCGGGGGTGAGGGAGCGTGGACGGGGGCGCCCGGGAGGGGCCGGGCGGCGGGGCTGCACCTCTCACACTGTGTGTTTTGTCTGTTTTTCTCTCCTAAGGTCCCGTTTCCTTCAGTGCGGCGGCCGGCGGGACCATAAGGGCTTAACTCATATATTTAACCCCCCTCCAAAAAGTAAGTGGCCCGTGTGGTGTCTGCTCCACCCGCCGCCCCCTAGCCCCTGTCCGTTCTTGTGTTTGACTCGAATGTCCCCGGCATTGTTATTTCCCGGTCTCTGCTTCGGTGCTGCTGCTGTGTGGGGAAATGCCCTCTCGTCGTCCTCTGTCCCCCACGCCCAGTCCTCGGGGAGGCCCGGAATTCCAGCCCCCCGTTTCGGTGGGGCACGTTCTTGGGAATCAGATCTTCCTCAGCAGAACCTGGGAGATTCTGTCCATCCGCTTGGGCCCCAGGTCCCCTCCTTCCCGACGGGGTTTCGTTGGAAGGAATTATGCAAATCCTGCTTTCTGGTGTCCATTCAGCGGCAATTTCATGCGGTGAGAAGTTCTCTTTGTTGTGCGAGGGGGAGAACAGACACTGATTTAATAGACATATCTGTTGGGGGGAAGGGTGGAGGGGGTGTGGAGAAGCTCAATTTGGAAGAATTACAGCACTTGGTTAGCTCAGTCTTTGTGTTTGAGCCTTCTGGCTTGACAGGAGGGTCTGCCCTTTACAATGTCCCACAAGGGATGTAGATGAAAAAGCAAAGCTAAAACTTTAAACAAGTGAAAAATACGGTAACCTTTACTTAGAGCAATAAGTACTGCCGGTTTTGCAGTATTTCATTATGAAAATGTGTGATGTGAATTTATTAAGGACTTAGACTGTAACATCAAATGTAATTAGCAGGCAACAATGTGGTAAGGTAGCTGATACCACTTAGATTGTCCAAAGGCTAAAAGTATATTTTAAAAAACGTATACTTGGGTAAATAATAAAGATCTGAGCAGTTTTTTGGGAGGGAGTGATATACCTTGTGAATACAGGTTAAAATTTCCCTCTTGCCAATCCAAGCCCTGCTCTGCCCTGCAGGAAACAGGCTTTTTGGCTCCAGCTATCATTTGCTCTGTTCTGCTTCTGCTTGTTTTATTTTTCACGACCTGTCACACATTTGCTACAATGTGATACGGGCTTAAGCACTTAGGAATTATGTTATTTGTCATCGTCATGTAAAAATGTACATGGCAGGTATTGAGAAACATCAAATTGAGGTGTTTTTGGAATTCTTGGTTAATATAAAAGATGATTTAGAAGGATTTCTAGTTTTTGTAATGTTAGTTTGACTCAGTGATTAGATTGTGTTTTGGAGGGCTTTTTAGTGTTTAAAAGGCATGGAACTGAGAAATGCAACCCTGTGTTGATAGAGCTTTTGTTTAAATCATTTCAATGAGTTATTCTTTGCTGTTTGATTTAAACCCTTGTGCTCCGATTAGCTCCCCTTTCTTATTAGTCATTGTATTAGTGTTTGATAACTGCTTCTGGACAAAATGTTTTGTTTTGTGGCTAATAAAAATCCTCCTGTAGACTCCTCGGTTGAGTATCGAAATCAGATCAATTCTTTGGAGAATGTTTAAGTTGATCAGTTTTCTGAGAGGGTACTTGGGACTCCAAATTGCCACTTTTTAGGTGACGTTCAGGAGCCCAGCGGCCACGGTACAGATGGTCCTTTAAATACTAATAGTTGTCGATAGTTGCTCAGCTAAAGTCAGCTGGGCATTATATTTTCTCTTTTGTTATAGGTAATTTTGTTCTCTAAGGGGAGTGTTTTAAATGTTGTTAGGAGATTTGTATTTTAAAGGGCAGGCAGCAGCCTATATATAGTTCAAAGAAGCTGTGCTATTTACTACTACAATAATTCTTAATTTAGTAGGATTGGTTCTGCACAGTTAATCTTAATTTCTATCTTAATCAGATATAAATCTGATTCTCTTGGTCAATTGTCTTAGTATTTTAGGGGTGTTTGCTTTTTAAGTGAAACTTAATTTATTGCAATCTTTGGGTTAAAAATGAAGTTTCAGTCATTTCTAGAATTTAATTTTCCTTTTTATTGTTTTTGTCAAGGAGGGAGTAAAATGTCAGTGGTGTCTGGAAGACAAGTGTCACCAAGTCAGTGATAAGTTTAGTTGAATCAGAGTTCATACAGATTGAGTATCTATCTCTTCAAAGTACTTGAGGTCAGAAGTGTTTGAAATTTCTATTTTTCAGATTTTGGAATGTTTGTAAGGATTTTACTGACTGTATATCCCTAATCTGAAAACTTGAAATCCCAGCTGCTCCAAAACCCAAACCTATTTGAACATTTTGGAACACTTTGGAACAGAACCCGTACTGGGTTCAGGCAGTTATTTCTGTCATGGGTGTTTGTTTACTTTGGTGGCTGTTGCGGGGGTCCATCTAGGTTCCAGGCCCGTCTGATCTCCCTAACCTTACTGTATTCTTAAGCTCTCCATGGTATAGAAAGAGGTACGATTTCAGCTAGTTCTAGTTTGGCTGAAAAAGGACAGAATAAGCCTTTGACTCCTGGAAAAGTATTTCAGGTAACTGATTTTGTCCAATGTGTTTATAGGTACAATTCTAAAAATATGTGATAATGCCAGTTTTTAACCTTAATGAGTTGCAATTTTCTAATAGTAAGAATTGATTATTTTGCCTGGATTTTGGCTCACACCTTTAATCCCAACATTCGGGAGGCAGAGATAACTGGATCTCTGTGAATTTGAGGTCAGCTTAGTCTACAGAGCAAGCTCCAGGACAGCCAGAGCTACACAGAGAATCCCTGTCTTGAAAAAAACCAACCAAACAAAAGAATTGATTATTGCATTTTTTTTAATGGGGGGGGCACTTCTGAGTGAGTACCTATCCAGTCCCTTAGCAACTGGAGTTTAGTGCTGTTACTAGGAATGGGAGGTACAGCTAAGTGATTAATTCACTTAAATATTTATTTTAAAGCATACTGCCTTTATAAAAAAAACATTGTGGACCATGATTGAGATGGCTGCTCTAAATTTCAGGAGTTTTTTTGTTTTCGTTTTGGGGTTTTATTGTTTTATTTTAAATTAGCTTACAAAAAATGGGTCTTATTAGAACTTTTAGTTCTTACAAAAAACAAAAAGTATATATAGCTTATTGTACAAGTCAAAATGTGTAGAATAATGGTATAGATAAGTGGTGTGTGGGTTATTCTAAAAGTGAAAGAAATCCCTTGGCAGGAGGGCTTTATGGAGGTGGCATTCTTAGCTTCAATTTGATCTTTGTGGAAATGGTATTTATTCCTGAGAAACATGAACAAAATGGAAAAGAACAAGTTGTCAATTTAAGCTGCAGTCCATGATTAATGGAAGGGGGCATATATGTTTGTGAAGGAATTTTTAAATGTTAAGTGGAATTTAGCTGGCTGTGCTGGTGCATGCCTTTAATCTCAGCACCTGGGAGGTAGACAAGTTGATCTCTCAGATTGAGGCCAGTCTGTCTGTCTACATAGTGAGACCCTGTCTTTCTTGTTTTGTTTTGAGACAGGTTTTCACTATGTAAGTCTGACTGGCCTGGAACTAACTTTGTCTTATGCTGTAGACCAAGCTGGCCTCAAACTCATAGAGATCCACCTGCCTCTGAATCGCAGTTGCTGGGATTAAAGATGTGACTGGCCACACAGCCCCCAAACTCTTATTTTTGTTCTGAGACAGGTTCTCATGTGACCTAGGCTGCTTTCAGACTTACTTTATAGCCAAGGCTAACCTTAAATTTCCGATTCTCTTCCATTCCAAGTGCTGTGATTGCAATTGTGTGCTACCACACCTGACTGTGTTTACTTTCAAGTTAAATACTTAACATCATTCCTTTACATACTACCTTTTAATTTGTCAGCAAGTATAGCCCCCCCTTTTAAAAACTGTTCTGTGTACTTGCACATTGCTTTAGTCATAATTCTATTATAAACTGTTAACTGTTTTCATTTTGTTGACTGTCTGATGTGTACAGGAAGGTATACCAGGTCCAACCCTGTAATTTAAGCTAAAATAGAATTCATGTGTTTTTTGAGATAGGCTCTTCCATAGTCCAGACTGGTCCCAAACTTGCTCTGTAGCTAAGACTGACCTCCAAGTCCCAATCTTCCTGCCTCGATCTCTAGAGATCTAGATTTACTGGTGGATACTACCATGCCTGGCAAAATTCACCTGTTTGAAATATTGAAAGTTTCTGCTTTCTAGTGAAAATTCACCTGTTTGAAATATTGAAAGTTTCTGCTTTCTAATTCATAAAGTTGTGCACATGTCACCATTAATTTCAAAACATCATTTCAATAAAAGAAACCCCTTTGCTCATAGGCAGTCATCCCAGCTCTTCTGTGACTTAACTCTTGGCAATTTCTTCTTCTTCTTTTTTTTTTTTTTTTTTTTTTTGGTTTTTTCGATACAGGGTTTCTCTGTGGCTTTGGAGCCTGTCCTGGAACTAGCTCTGTAGACCAGGCTGGTCTCGAACTCACAGAGATCCGCCTGCCTCTGCCTCCCGAGTGCTGGGATTAAAGGCGTAGTTACACGTTTCTTACAGATGAAATCATGTACTTTGTGGCCCTTTTTATCTGACTTTTTTCATATAGCATAATATTTGTAAGTTTCATTCAGGTTGTAACATGTAACATTTTCGTTCATTTGCATCCACTGTTGTATTCTTTTTATAACTAAATAATAAATATTACATTGTATGGACAGTCCAAATTTGTGTGTACATGCATCAGTTGGTGGGCATTTAGCATGTTTCATTTCTATTTCAGTAATGACACTATGAGAATTTGTGTAGAAATTTGTGTGTGGACATATATACATAGAATGGAATTGATGGCGCAGGTGATTATGTTTTAACTTTTTGAGTTTACTATTTTCCTAAGTTTTGGGGGACATTTTACATTCCTACCATCATTGTTTAAATGTTCCAATGCACGGCAACATTTTTTTATTGTCTGTTTTTGCTCAGTTCTTTTTTCTCTTCGATTTTTGAAATTATGGCTGTATTAGTGAGTATGAATTAGTATGTCATTAAATTTTTTTGATTTGAGTTCATGACTGATGACATAAGGCATCCTTTATTGTGTTTATTGGCCATTTGTCTGTCTTCGGGAAAATTTGCAGTTAGGTTGTAAG